ATATACATAATATATATATCTCACATATATATATATATAAAACACATATCTAGAATAATACTTTTTAATAAAATTTTAACTGTATTAGAGTTAGGATGTTTCTGAATTCTCCACCTATAGGGCTGTCTCTGTAGGACCATGATTCTGTGAAATATTTAAGTATGTTACAGTACAGAATTACACTGGTGTCAATAGAATTAATGTGCCTGATCTTTGAGTTTAAGCAGCAAACCAATTCTAAAATAACTTTGGATGTTACTTCTATTAATGAAAGTCTGAATGTTTAAATGGTGGATATCTGCTACTGACTTACCAGTGACAAAAGCAAGCATGGAGTCCTGTAAGAAAATGGTATCTTCTCTATGACGATAGAGATGTACTTTTAGCCTGAAACTACTCATATTTTGAGATTGAATCGCGTACCTCAGAAGTGTATAATTGTAACAGAAAAATATCCACACTTAAGAGGAAAAAAATCTCCCTAGAAGGCTGATGAAAATTAAATATCAGGTGTTTGACACTGGTCAGATCAGCTTTAGAAAGTTAGAATTTGCTGAAAGGAAATTAATTTGTACCAAAGCAGGCAATGTATTAAAAATGCATAGAAAAACTGGAAAAAAAACCCAAACAAAACAACCCCATAGGATGCATTGTGGAACCATGTGATAAAATCAATTTCACAGTGGAGCATGCAGCTCTGCAGCTGAGTGTTGACAACTCATGATTCAGCTGAGCGTCTGGGAACATTTAGTATGCTTTTTTTTTTTTTGAAGCCCCAACTCTTAAATTCATATGATTACAGCAGGAATTCCAACTTTAATTAAATTGAAGTAAGTTCCTCCCTGCAGAACAAGCCGTGTTCATGTATGCTCTAAAGACTTAGAAATCAAACGACAAGCAACCTGTAAATTTTTGTTTGTGTAGACTTTTATGGCTGTTAGATTGTAAATAAGCTTTATTTGTTTCATCTGGAGACTGCTTTATTCAAAATGAGTAACAATCTACAATACTGAGTGAAAGAGGGGAAGACAGAGAAATGAGACAACCTTCAGAACATTCTATTTAATTAACACAGGATTGCAGAGTAGCAAACTTTATTTCGGTAAACTAAAGCACCAGCAATAAAGGTTAATGAGGTAAGAGCAAAAATGTGATCTATCTTCATGCCAGTGAAAAGATCCACCCAACTGCTGTGTGTTTCCTGCTAATGAAATACGATTGACATGCATTACCTGCTGTGTGAGAGGAACACAATGAATGATGGATCAGCAGCCAAATCATCTGTCCTTTCTCCCCTGTTATTTTTGCATAATACACTCATCGACCTTACCAAAAAACAAGTTTGGTTTTTTTTTCCCAATACTTGCCAGAAATTTACTCCTTTGAAACTTTGGGGTATCCTTTTGGCATTTGCTCTGAGCAGTTCTGGGGATCATACAGGCATATAACACACATATAAATAATGACAGCATTATTAAGGTTGCAGGATCAAACACCCCAAAATTAGGATGTGCCACAGCTGAGGTTTTGTGTAACTCCAGTCTGTTATGAGCTTGTGTCTAAATTTTGATTAGCATGGCCAGTGAATCTTTGCACTCACACCTAATGTCGAGGATGAGTCTATTTAAGACCCAAAAAAGTGTTTGCCCAAAACATTTTCCTCCAACCAATTTAGTTTGATTTTATAACAGATGCTACCTGTGATTGCAGATCTCACTTCATGACTATTTCTTCTACAGCCTTTAATGTGTGATATATTTTTTTTAATGAACAACAAAATGCAGTACTTAGTCACTCCTCTTTACATAGCTCTTCATCAAATAGCACTGTGTTCCCAGCAGGCTAAAGCCAACTAGTCTCTAAATCCAGTCTCCCCTGCCTCCCACACCCCAGTTTGTCATCACTCTCTGCTCTAAGATTTCTTGTCTGGCTATTTCCAGTTTCACTGGTCACCATCTCTCTCTGCTCTGAGTCAAGTGTGGAAGCAAGACAAGTCACTGTAAACACAGAAGTGACATGCTGTCTTGGTTTCAGCTAGGATAGAGTTAATATTCTACCTAGTAGCTGGTTCTGTGCTGGGGTTTGTATTTAGTCTGAGAATAATGCTGATAACATACTGATGGTTTAGTTGTTGCTAAGTAGCTCTTACCCTGATCAAGGTCTTTTCAGTCTCATGCTCTGCCAATGAGAAGGGCCACAAGAAGCCGGGAGGATGTAGAGACAGGACACCTGACCCAAACTAGCCAAAGGGGTATTCCATACCACAGCACATCATGCCCAGTATATAAACTGGGGGCAGCTACCCAGAAGGGATCTATCGCTGCTTGGGTCAGGATGGGTATCAGTCAGCGGGTGGTGAGCAGTATGCATCACTTCTGTTTATTAATGTTTTCTCTTCCTTTTCCCCTTTTGGTTTTATATTTTCTCCCCTTGCTATTTCCCTTATCATCATTAGTGGTAGTAGTAGTAGCAGTAGTATATTGTACTTATGTTACTGGAATGTTCTTAACTTAGCCTGTGGGGTTTACATTGTTTTGATTCTCATCTCCATCCCACCCATGGAGGGGAGCTGGGCAGAGTGGGCAACTGGCTGCATGGTACCGAGTTACCAGCTGGGTTTAAACCATGACACATGCTGCTTTGTCTCACTACCTGTTCAGAGCAGTTAATTCTGAGAAACTTCATCTGCATATATTTGATTAGAAAAAGCATATTTTGGTGACAGTGGATGCACAGTGCAGTCACACAGGATTTGGAAGCAAAGGACAATACTTTTATAGCCTGGGGTGAGGTAGCGCACACATGCTGCAGTCACACCAGACTACACGTGGATGGAGCATACTCTGTTTGCAAAATGTGTGTTTGGGTTTTGGAGATCTGTTCAATTCCTATATCTAGAGTTTCATAAAATGCAAACACACACAAAAACCAAAACAAAGCTGACTTAAGAAGCAGCTGCCCTGGGTGTTCCCCCTGCTTCTTGTTCTTCAGACATCTATCTCTGCTGATAAGCTTACTGCTCCCCATATTGGGCTGATACAGCTGCTTACAGAGCCATCCTGTTAGCTGGCTCACAGAAGTGATCTGGTCCAAAATCACCACTGGGTGTAATCAGAACCTTTTACAACATAGTTAATTCTGGTTTTGACACTGAAGTTGCTTATCCAGTATTATGCTAATTCAAGTGACAGTGGCTGCAGTGTAAAATGTCATCTGGGATGCTCTGTCCACACCAGTACGAAAAGAACTATTTATGGCAGTAATATTTCTTGGAGTACATCCTGTGATCCTCAGCCTGGTAGCAGCTGATCTACTCTGTGAAAATTTCCTCAAGAAATTGTCCTGTTTGGATAGACACGAGGGTGGTGGAGAGGCACAGAAGATTGTGCAGTAGGGTGGCTTTGCCATTCCTTCATAATTACAGGATGGTTACATTAGCACTTGATGAGTTACATCAGCAGTTGATGAGTTTTACTGGTTTTAAGTAAATGCCTCTTGCTGATCTTGGGTCAGCCAATATAAACTACAAATAACTTTATATTTGATTTATGTCTGGTTTGTATGCACTTAGGATTCAGGTCAGGGAATCTTTTACAATGTCTATTTCTGCTTATCGTGGTTTTTTTTAACATCCCCCATGCTTTCTCCTTTTAGTCTTCCTGTCCCTTTTTAACTGGTGTTCCTGCCTGCTTGACTCAGTGCCAGAGTGGTGGAGACAGCAAATAGTGAAAGAGAGCATGGGTAACTTTCCATACCCTCCAACCTCTTCCAGAATCGGTTCCCCTCTCAAACTGCCCTTGTAGACCTGAACTGAAGGATACTCACAAGTTATCACTGTATGAATAACTATATGATGAAACCAAGCCCACTATAAAATAGGTCTAAATTCATTTGTGAGAACAAAAGATAAAGCACCACAGGGGTTTAGTGGAGCTGCTCCTACTGACATGAACAAAGAATCTGGAAAAAAGTGAAGTTTAGTTTTGATATTCTGTGCTTTCATTTATGTCTCTTCAGCACCACAGGACCTTTCTCTGGATTTCAAGAGCAGTTTGTGAGACTATAACCCTGCAATCCCACTGGGCTCTTGTCAGTAGGATTGTTGTGCTTTCTCCAACAAGATTATAAGCACTCATTTGCTTTCAGCAGAAGTTTTACTAAGCATCTATTCATATCGTAATGGATTATTGACATAACACAGCAGACTGTTATGAAGTATTCCACTATGTGTAATTAGAGAGTATTTAATCTGCATAATAAAAATCCATATGAACAGTTGTTGTCATTCATGCCCAAAAGCTGCTCATCTAAATGAAGCATGTAGCTTGCCCCATAGATTTAGGGATGGAAAACAGCATTTGGAAAAAATCTCATCTAAATTCAAGATTGCCAAAAAGGTGCTTTTACTCAGCAATCCAGATGTGGGCAATCTGATCCCCCCTCAGGCATATAGATTTGAATGTTAGCTTCCAACTTTCATCTTGGATCATGTTTTTACAGCTCTGTGATAAGTATTTACTTTCCCATTCCTCATGCCTTTAGTAAGGTGGCGAGGCAGTCTACAAGGAGATTGCCCAGGGTCCTCCTGCCAGGGCTGAGGAGGAAGGGTGAGAGAGGTTCTCTGCACTGTGTGGGGCTTTGTGATGTTTTTGAACAGGGCATCCACCCATGCTCCCAGACCTGTACAATGTGTGAAAGGTCAAGGTAGCATCTCTATATCATTTAAGGCCCACTGAGGTATGTAAAATAGAACTCAACTAGGGATATGAATGGTTCATAGAGCATCCCTGGGTGCTCCATAACGGGAGGATTTTAGGGTTAAAAACAAGGTGACTGATAACGCAGCCTGATAATGCTGAGGTGGAAACCAGGAAGTAGGAGAAACGTTTTATCCCTATAGCCTGCTAGGGATTCCTTCATGAAAGATTTTACTGGATCAAACTTTGCAAAGAAAGCAGTGCCAGCAGGAAAAAGAAGCTCAAAACATTTAAGATGTTTATTTATATGTTTTAGTTGGTTTAATAAACATTTTTATGATTTTTATTTTGCTAAGGAGTCTCCTTGATTTCAAAATTAGCCAAAGCTGAAGAACATTAACTTCCATTGTAAAGAAAGGTTCTGTTCAACCACTGCCACTGCTTCTTATGTTGTGGCGGAAATCCATCTGTAAGTAGCCTGAAAACAGACACATTAAATGAAAAAAAACCCAAAACAACCAAAAACCAAACCCAGAGATAAAACCTCAGCTATAATTTTCACATCAGCCTTTTACAGTCAGTGTACAATACGGGCATTTTGCGGTATCATAAAGAGTTGTTAGTTGTTCTTCTGGTGATTTAAAGCCCTAAAATTGTCAGCATAGTCTAGAATATTACTATGCACAAGAGAAAACTACACTGCATAAATTCCTTTTTATTTTGGCATCAAAATAATAAACTCAATTACTTGAGAAAACACGTGTAGGGAGTACAGTGGGCTTGTCATGGCATTCATGAAGTGTGGGGGGGGGGTGTGTTGAATTATGCAGAAGTGTGCTTCACACAGAATTGAAAAATATGTGCTGACGCAGGAAAGTTCAATATTCAGGTGAAATTCTAAGCACCTAGTGCAGAACTCTTACTTTTGTACCTAGAAATTAATGTCAAATGAATGCTATTATGGAATTGGCCTTAATTCTGGTGTTTAACTGTTGAATATTTGTCTTCACAGCCTTAACGATAGCTTCTAGCATAATGTGAATTTAGATGGCCAGACTCATAAATTGCAGGCTCCTCCACATCACAAGATGAAGTGCCTGTATTTGCGGTTCTCAGCCAAGGAGATTGGACTTTGGGTTGTACTGTAATTTAAACCGAAGACTGTTAATTTTAGTGTATGCAGAAAACACCTGGAGCTATCTTAGAAGAGTAATGAGATGTGTTATCAACCCAGATATTACTCAGAGCTTTCAAGAAACAGAACTCTGAATGTCTGAGTTTAAAAGAAAAGACAAAAGTGATAAGAAATATGTTGAGAGACATACTAAATCCCTTCATCAGAGGGAGATAGATAAAAATAATAACACTTGGTAGCTAAATAATACAATCTGTGGGAATCTTAATGAAGCCTAATGACTCGTGAGCTGTACTGTTAAATTCACTATCCCATTTTACAGCCAAAGAAAAAAGAAACATGAAAGTGAATGCTAACATTTTCATCTTTTGGGTGTATTAAATTTTGCAACGTAATCCATATTCTTATGTGCTAGTAAAGAAAGCAGAATTGAGTTCTAATTACAAGTAAAATTTAAACTATCACATAAAGGGTGGAGAAATTTGCAAGGGAGAGAGAAAGACCCCCATTCTGTCAGGCAGCTAGTGATTAGTGACCTTAATGGGTTGTTTGAAAGCAGGATGCTGAAAGCTTTAAAAGGCCAGCCACCTGTACACCTTTCCCCTCTGAAAGAAGAATGGGTATTCAACAGTTTTCAGTCAATGTCAGTTTGGTTTTCTCTGTCTTATGGAGCCTGCACTTGAATTCTTGTAGAGCAAGCAAGCATCTGGGTTTTACCTGCGTGTTGTTCTGTGCATCGTCTTTAGCTCATATCAGCAGATTATCCTTTGGCTTCTTTACAGTCTCTTCTACTTTGGAATTTCTAAATTCTTACACATTTCCTTTTTTTGCACCGGAAGAAATGGATAATTTGTAGCTAATAATAATATGGGGCTGTGGGTATCTCCTCCCTTTCTGCAGCCTGTGTGCGACCAAGACCATCTGTATGAGACAGTACTGCCTTTTGAGCCCCTATTTTGCTGTTATGTATTTTATACAAATATATAATGTGCTGTCTTGTGGTTGCTTAAATATACTTTACCAGAGTGATTTTATGATATTTATGAAAAACTTGCATTTCCACAGGTTTTAGTAAAGATGGTTACATAACCTCGTGGTCCTATTGATTTCTATTAGATGTTACAGCAGATTACAATCTCAGTTTCAAGAATTCTGCTCTGTAATTTAATTGAGCTAAATAGAGATTGCAGTTATGAAGTTTGGTTTTTTTTTTAATCACTTTTAAATGATTTTGATACAATTTTCTAATCAATGAGGATTACAAAGTGAAAATGCTATGCTCAACATTTTAATCTCTAGCATCAGGTTCTGGTCTTTTTCTTTGGCATACTTTACTGGTATTTTTATGATCTTATTGTGTCTGTAGTTGGTTTGGTTTTTTTTGTTAGTTTGCTGTGAATTTGGCTTTTTCTTCTGAGTATCTATCTACATATGTCTTTATACTTTCATGTACTGATAAGGAAGCAAAATTATCCAGGTCGGAGATGCACAAACTGAGGCCTGTTCTCACTCCAGGCATTCAATGTTGAAGGATTTTGTGGCCCCATCCTAGAAGCCCATTTGGAAGAAGACCCCAGATCCTTTTTTAAGTTCTGTACATATATAATTATTTACCAAAATAGCTTCTCTACAGAATGTATATATGCACACATAGACATATTTATATATACGCGTAATGCATATGCCAATAATATGAAGTATAGCTTTTTTTTTTCATTCCATATAAGTATAAATACATAGAGGTAGAAACTTTGCACAAATTTTCAGCTTCCTTTTGGCCAAACCTTCACCAGCTGTTACCTACTTCCCTTTCTTGGCATAGACTTGGCATAGACTTTCTGTGGGAAACCTGTTTTTCCACTTCTGATGGCTGCTTTTGTCTTAACTGCCCTAGGGAAGTGCACATCCCTGGCAAGATGTTCAAAGTTGGATTCAAGTCTTCGACATGTGGGGATCACAGGTATTATCTCTGAGAACACTTAATGAGGAAATCAGAGGGTTCTACAAAGTCAAACAGCCTGGAGAACAAACTGTCAATCTGAAAGCTCTTGGATTGGTTCATGTTTCTACAACCAGAAAGAAGAAACAATCCTTTAACAAAGAGACTGCTGGCTCTTAAGATATAGTTTGGTCAGATGTAGGTCTACAAAGGTTGGCTCTTACCCTTATCTCAGACCAAGTCTTCCGAGAGCTCCTGGTTCAGATCAGCAACAAACAAGACTTTCCAGAATAGTGACTCTTACATTGTTGAGATCCACAGTGGTACTTGCTTTGTTCCTTCCATTCTCCTTATAGACAGGTCCTCGTATGTGATACTGACTCTTAATTCAAATAGCTTCTGTTTCTCTCCTAGGGTCTATCAGCTTCCTTTGTATAATTAAGTGACTTGGCTGTTGATTTGACAGCATTTACCTTTGTAAGTTCAGCATTTCTTTACACTGATAGTTCTTTAGAAGAGAAATCAGAAGACCCAGCTCACAAGGACTTCCTCATCTTCCCTGGGAGTCAAGAAGGCTTTCCTCTCTTTTGTTAACTATTCCTGGAAAAACTCCTAACTCCATAAGCAAAAGCACAAGGCAAATATCATAGGCTCCTTATACACTGACCTGTCCTTTTAAAACAGTTCTGCTTTCACATTGTTCTCCAACACACAAGAGCAGACTGAAAGTCTCTCACTCAATTTTACAGTTAGTGAGCTGTGTTATCACATTATTCCTCCACCCTAATGCAGCCAGAGGAATTTTGTGTGGGCTTAGACTGACTTGTTCCTTGCATAGACCAAGCCCTTTCAATCCCAATCAAGTTATTAATTTACGTCTTCTTTTGATTGGTAAGGATAGTTTATGTCCCTATAAAGACGTCCACTGAATCAACTTGGAGAATATCCTCTACCTCAGCCAGATGTTGTCCCCTATGCCTTCAATATCCACAGGAAGGTATCAGTGTTTCTGCCCTAGAGCTGGTTGGTCTCTATAGTCCTTTTTAGATGGTTTCCTGATTTTTCAGTTAGAGGAGTATGCCTTCCCAGAAATTTCTTTCGTGATCACAGTCAGCCAGTCGGTAAGACAATATATGATTGTAGTGATTCTTCCATGGTCTAAAGCAGGTTTTTCTCCAGTACTCCCAAGCTTTTAGTACAGCTCCCTACACACTGCTTTTCAGTGCCAAGGCCTCATAGTGTTGAGCTTGCCTCCAGTCAGCAGTAGGCAACAGCTCTCTGGATTACAGTTTACCTGTTTATTCTTGTTAGTGATACCCTGATAAACCACAGTGAAGATTTCAGCTGGCACATGCGGCAAGTGTGCTGATGCCTGATGATGACTTAGAGCTCAGGACTTCTTGATCAGCTTGTTTGAGATGCCTCTGGCAGTCATATCCATGTTGTGTCAACAAGTGGAAGGTTTTCCGCTGGGGTTCACTGACTGTTTTTGAAGGTCCCCAAAGTTTCTTCCCACCAGGGGCTTGTTCCTCACTACCGTGTAAGCTTGTCTTTCTCTCTTTGGTAGGACACTTTCCAAATTTCTCAGTGAAATCAGCCTTACAGTTGTTTCAGTCAGGAGAGGAAAATGAGATTGTAGCCTTTAGAAAACAGCCTGCTGCATGCTGCCTCTTTTATAGTTTAGCCTTTATATTAATCCTAAATGCCTTTCTAAGTAGTGATAAAATCCTCTCTTAGCTGGGCAAATGACTTCTACCAACTGTTCCTAAACTACATGCTTCCAGGACAGCTGCCTAGCATACCTTTGATAGTGTGTCTCTTGCACCAAGACAAAAGATATCTGGCTGGCCGTGCTCGGATACAGTTAAACTGACAGTATGAATGACATTCAACCACATACCTCAAAGAAGAAGTTACAGATAAGCTACATTTCCTAAGTTACTTCTTTATTCAACTATCCATTTCATTATGTTCTGCTTTCTCCTTGTATTTTTGCTTGGTGGACTTGTGTTTTTCTTCAGTACTTCCTTTATCATCTAGGATCTAAAATTTCCAGTCATAAAAACACACAGTGCCTCATTTTTTACAGTTGCAAACATTAACTTTTCTGAATTTTGTCTTGCCTTGGCTTGCAGTTCACATTCACCACAGCACAACTCCTGAGAGAAGCTTTTCCTGTTTGTATTCAACAAAATTAGATTTTAATTTCAAAAGTCTCTCTATGACTTCAAACATAGCATTACTTGTGTGCTGTCTCCAACTGTAAATAGTATGTAGTCTTTTCATATTCAAAGTGATAATCCAGTCTTTGCACATAGCAATCCTTGCAAAATTTCTGCTGTGATTTATTCTTCCTAGCTCTTCTTTCCTTCTCTTCAGCTTTCATCTGCAGACTTCTGCAGAATTGTTTTACTTAAGAACATAATGGATTTGCCCACAGGCTGCTTCTGTCTATATTTTATTTCAAACCTTTGTGCAATCTTTTATATGAGTTCTTGCAGATCCACTTTGATTGTATTTTGTGGTCTTCAGTTTTGTTTTGCATTTGAATCTCTTAATGGATATACAGTTTAATACATATAAAGCATCACACATCTCCTCTCTAATTTCTGATAGGAAACTGATACCTTTTCAACTTTACCTCCCTGTAACTGAAGATTACTCTTAATTTCTTCAGCTGTCCTGTGCTTTCTCACCTGCATGTAGGCTATTCGTCTAATCTGGCACAGATGATCAGCAGTATTTTTTAGGCCACTTTTTCATCTTCTTGAGAATAGAAAGAATTCTTGCCCTGCTTTGCTTCAATTTTCTAGTGTATTTCTGAAAATTTAAAGACATAGTGTAGTTGCTGCTGGTTTCTCTAAGACATCCGTTACTGGCTATCCTTCTTTCTACTTGTGTACCTATTCCATTGCTAGTACTACATCATCTTTTGAGGTGGCAGTGAAACAGAAATCCAAATCAGGATTTAGAAGTACAATAAATCATTATTATAACTAAAGAAAAACTAATGGTGGGGAAAGATCTGTGTGTTCTACTCCTTCTGGTGGATAGCACTGAGTGCAGCAAGAGCTACTTCAAACCAGAACGTTTCTTAAAGTGCCTTTTACCATGAGTGTTATTTAATGTTCATAGGTGCTGTGTACTTAAAACTGTCTCTGAAGTTAAATGAGGAAGGAATGAAATTGTATATTTATGCACCAAATTTAAAAGCCCAAGGTTAAAAATTGGCTTGTAATACCTTATTATTTATAAGTGTTTACATTCAGTTAAGTTATCCAGTGTTGTTTTTTATGGAGATAATCCAGAAAACCGCTTTCAGTTCTGGAATGACTGACCTCCTTCTAATTAGGTGAAACTTGGCATGCCTCAGATCTACAAAAAGCACAAAGACTACAGGTACAATACTTTATAAAAAAGATTTCATTAAATACTGTACTTCTAAGATCATCACAGCTGAGAAACCACCATTTTGTTTCACTTATTGTTTGGGAAAAAGGCAAAATGTAGCCAGAAAACAGTAAAATTGCTCGTTCCTCAGCTGCAGAATCTTTTTTCCAAAATAAATCTTTATGCTGCTTCTCTCTCCTCCTAATGAATGTTTTGGTGACTTGCTGGCAAAAATGAAAACAGGAAGAAAGACAATAGTTTGTGAAGAGTCTTTTCACTTGGGAAAAATTACTTTATAGTAACTGTAGCATAATCTGACGGAACTCCAAATATAGCAGAGGAGTACAAAAAGAAAGCAGCAATGGTAACTGCCTCCCTGGGTTTTTCATTGGAATTACAGCTCTCTGGCTGTAATTTAGACATTTAAACTGACCAGTTTTAGGTTGACATAGCTCTGTTTACAGGCATGTAGATTGACAATTGTAACTAGGAATTTTTGAAGTGAGATGCAGTTTCAGGAGATAGCCTTCAAAAATATGGGTGAAAGAGTGACAGAATCAACCATGCAGTAACTGAGGTTTATACAATAAATGATAGCCAAAAGAGTATCATGACCACCATTAACAGTTTACCTTGACTGCCATTGCTATTTCATGCAGTTTTTAATATGGAGGCGATGGTGTGTCTAATCCTGTACATACTATTGCAAAATGTTCACTGAATATTCTTTTCCAAGAGGTAAATACATTTTTTAATGTAAATTAACAGATTATTACCTTCAACCTTGAGCCATGGAGCGAAACTTTAGAAAGCTGACTACAACAGTATTTAACACTTTCTATAAAGATAAGCAGAGATCACAGCTCAGGAGGGACCCTTTGCTGCACCCATGCTCCTTTCCAGATAGGCTGTGTTTTCAATTTCCCTGTATTCTAAAAACATCACAGAGGTGATGGGATTTTGGCACAGAAGGGAAGTACTGTAGTTATGGAAGTGTCACCATTTTAGTGAATTCTAGTCCTGTGTCCAGTGGGAACAGGAAAAGTAGTGTGGAGACTAGGGGCAGAATCAGCTACTGGGCCTGAATTTGGGGCGTAGCTGTAGCAAGTTGGCTTGCTTTTAATTGCAGAAAGCCCTAGGTTACATTTTTAATGCTCCTGGGGAACCAGACAACACTAACAGTCATATATGAACCCAAGGGATTAGTAAAAATCATTCAAAATCAAAACAGAGACCAAAAACCCCACAGTTAATCTTTTAAGGAGGAAACCTTGTTATTTTTTTACCTCTTGTGTTTGAATGTATTCAATGTAAAACTTCAGCAAAGTACTAGGACGGGTTTGCTCCTATACCTGCCATGAGCCACAGCATCCAGAGGACTCTTCCTAATCTCTGTCAGCCATTCAGAGAGCAGCTGGTCACAGGCGCATCTACTGACCTGCTTTGGCTTGTTTTTCATGGCCAGAGTACTTCACCCATTCTCAGCTGGACCTGCTGACAGAACAGGATGGTTTTGCCCCGAAGTCCAGTCCTTTAAAAGGAAAAGCTCTCTTGTTAAAGGAAAGTTGAATGATAGTGTAGGACTTTTGGCTAGAACTTGTCCACTATGAGTAGTCTTTGGAAGGTTACCAAAAGCTTGTTCCCAAGCTGCGTGACCTAAATCAGTTTCTTTTTCTCCTGGAAAAGTTAGCAGGAGTGGGGGCCCCAGCTCCAGGTGCTGCCCTGATGTGGAAATGACAACAGAGGACAGATATGCCCAGGTCCCTTCTGCACATCCAAGGCTGATGCTGGCATGGGTGCCAGGCTGAGTGCACAGCCAAGGTAACACGGAGACACTGGGGTGGATGGGGAGCAGGAGGGAGAGGAGCCCATAAAGAAGGTCATGCAAAGCAGAAGAGGAAGGTACCAGGAAGGGGGAGCATGACTGCAAGGAGCTGCCGATGGTCTCTAAACCGGGATAGCAGTCAGGATGGCAGCTCCAGGGCTTCAGGAGCTCCCAGCAGGCAAAGCTGACACCACGGAAGGCAGGGAAGAGCAGGCACCACGCCTTGCCTTAGCTAGGATTGATAAACATCCCTTGTAACACAGAGCATCCAACATGAAAGTTCTGTGTCTTGTGTGATCCTCCTGTAGGACACAAGCTCTCCTGCATGTTGATAGCAATTAGCCTCACAACTGCAGTGCATTTGGACATGCCCAGTTTTCCTCCTTCACGTGCTGTGTGTACGATCTGCTGTGCATGTGCAACAGTGCGAACATGCAATGCAGCTAACTGGAGCCGTCCTGGCTTTATACTTAGGATCTCTAGTCCTGTGTTTGATAGGACTGCACTCACTGATGGCTGGTGGCACATAAATTATCTGTCACTGACGTGTGAGTTGTGGGAGGGCAGCCTCCACCCAGCAGGAGGTACCGCTGAGAGAATTCCTCCTGCCCTTTTCTCTAACATGCTGCAAGAATAAATCACCTACTCAGCTCTAAATGGCGCTTAAGTGATATAATGGAGTTCTTCCCTGGCCTGTAGATAGAGATAACAGCACTTTGATCTAGCACTGATTAAAACCGTGTTAGTCTGATGTTTGTTTCCAAATAAATATTTTATAACAAAAATGAAGTTGAAAAATAGAATTTGACTATAAAAGCAAATCTGGGATAAATAGAGTAAGGACAAGAGGGCTGTTCTTTAACATTAATATTTGTATTCAAAGATATCCTAAAGGCATGCAAGGAACTTTGATGTCTAATTCCTTAATATTTGCAGGATATAAGAGAGCTTTGAAGCTTGCATTATGGGTGAAAAAAAGAGAATATTTGTTTGGCCTCTGCAACACAAGTGAAACGAATTAGTGTAATAACTGTAATTTAACTATCATATCCATTAGCACAGCTATTAAAGGTGGTTGCTTTTCCCAGTTTTCACAGATAGTTTTGATCTTGGGAGGATTGCCATGCTATGGGCAAACTATTAAATACAGTCTTTTTCAGTTGTAACTTTTAGATTCTTTGTGATGCAAGTATGACTCATTAGGATGACTCACATAAAAGTGGATCCAGATAACACCACTGCACAAGTTCCTACTCTCTGCTCGCCAAACTATCTTCTCAGCCTGCTAGTGACTAAGAATATGTATCAGGAGCATCCACTAAGTGATTTCTTCCTGTACATGCCACATGGAGGAGAAGTCAATATTTATACCTCACATTTGATAGACTTCATCAAATATATTTTGCTAAATAACACTCTATATTACATATTCCTTGTCTAATATTTGCCCACAGAAGAAGTATTTGTTATGTGACTCGAACGCCTGGTTAAGAAGAGCTAAATGAGTACGACATATTTAATATTTATTTGGTAGCACAACACAGTAGACACAGGGGAGGTGAGAGAGAATGCAAATACAGGAGGAAGAAAAAGTGATTAAAGGGCATAGACAGAACATGAGATATTTCTACATGACAACAGTGATTCTGAAAAAAGTAAGCAGCAAGACAAGCTCAGATATTTGGATTTTAGAATGTAAAAGTTAAGTATTTTAGGTAACAAATAATACTTAAGGGGGACTGTAAATGACTGTTCACAGGCAGACACGTTTTGTCTAAAAGTACATTGCTTCAGGAGAACTCCAGAGGTGATCCACTTCCATAAGATAATGGATCATTTGGGCTCTTCATATTTAGGGACACCTTTTACCTTCAGTGACAGGCTCTTAGTAGAAGAAAATTTTATTTTTCCTTTTATATTGGGTTAGCCTGTGATGTAGTGAGTGAAATTAATATCACAGCAAAATCTAATAATAGCAACAACCACCCCCCCATACTGTAGAGAGCTGTTAAAGTCGTGTTAAAGACAACTTAATGGAGAGGTTAGTTACAGAGAAATTGTACTGGCTGATGGGATTTTGTGAGAAGTTATATTGCAGAATTTTGGCAAACTGTGTGCATTAGCCAGTAATATGTTTTCTGGAAATAACGTTGTGCACTTGTAATGAAAGCAGCATGTCCTGCTTTATTTTCTGAATACATTCCTTGAGAACAAATGGAAGTCAGAACTGTACAGGAGGAGGAAGGATTTTGTCTGTTTATGTTATTATTTGAAGAAAGCTCAAATATAGTTTACCAGCAGCAAGATGCTGTGATACGTTTAACACTGAACTTTTAATTTCGTAAAAGCAAGTGAGTCCAAGATGTAAACATCAGATAAATGTGAGAAAATCTGTACCAGACATTTATAATACTTATTTTAGCAGGTATGTGTTTGCATATTTAGCTGTGGTGTCCTTCTGGTAAATATAATCATGGCGTAGTTCAATCGTATTTCCTTATATTGGTTCCCAGCTATGTACTTTTTCTGCTGTGTATGACTGTGATTATCCAGTCCAGTCTGGACATCCTAGGAATTTCTTTTTGGTATCCGTATAGACTGGAATTCCTCTGACATCAATGGATTTTTTTCATTACCAACCACAATTAAGTGCACTGTTATATTTAATATGGAATTTGAAGGGGTTTTACAGGATCTTTCTTAAAAAGACGTGTACGCGTATGTCATACTGATGGCCTTCATATGTTTAGTCAGTTCTGCTGGTTTTGCATTGTATAACCATAGTCTGCCAACTTTGTTAATGCAAACCTGAAATGTGAAAACTATGTAACTTGAAATTTAACTTTATTTTATTAAGGAAAAGTTTTGAACATCATGAGCAAATTTTAAAGTATTATTCTCAATTTTGAACAGGACAGCAATTTACCAAAAAACCACCCAACAAAAAACCCTGTGGTACAGAAACATCAGTCTTGAGTAAATATTGTAGTTTATGCTCATCTCTCATAGCTTTCAATTCACTCTCTGAACAGACTCAGTTCTTTTATTGAAATGATATCCCACAAACCAAATGTTGTCCATGATTAACTCCTACATACATTTGCTGGAGCAAGCTCTTATGTTGTACTGTTGGCATGTTGTGTTTCTGGTTGCACAGTCTCTCTATCCATGGTCATAGCTATACATACTAATTTATTTTATGGATGTGGTTTTGGTTTTGGATTTGCCTGACTGTTTTTC